CGTCTATAATCCCAGCTACTTGGGAGGCTGAGGCAGGAGAATTGCTTGAATTGGGAGGCTGAGGATGCAGCGAGCTGGGATTATGCCACTGCACTCCAGCATGGGTGATAAAGTGAGACTCCATCTCAAAAATTAAATAAATAAATAAATAAATAAATAAGAGAGACCCAGGTTTTAGTCCAGGCTGTCAACAAATTGATGTGACCTTGAAAGTCACAGCCTGCCTGGGACTGACTCATCCCACTGGTAAAGTGGTAGAGTTTAGATGGTTTTTTAAGTTTCCTATTAATTCTGACATATCATGTCTTCAGATGTAGCTCATTCTAGGAAGAAATTTCCTGTGGTCCCACTTCATCTAAGAAGGAACAGAAAAAAAAAGAAATAAATAACACCAGGTGTCTTTAGCTGCATGGCCAGTGATGGCTGAAACTAATCATGGGTCAGATCACCTGAATATACATGGAGAGAATTACCTACAACCTGCAGGCATGGTCCAAAGACGGGGTGTGATACTGGAAAATGAATGAACTTTTGAGTCACACAGAATTGAATTCAAATCCCAGGTATGCAGCTGGATTAACTTCTGTAATACTGTTTTATTGCTTATAAAAGAAAAAAAAAAAGTTTGGTTGGGTGTGGTGGCTCACACATGTAGTCCTAGCACTTTAAGAGGCCAAGGGGGACAAATCACTTGAGCCCAGTAATTCAAGTGATTCTCCTGCCTCAACCTCTCGAGCTGGGATTACAGGCATGTGCCACCACGTCCAGCTAATTTTTGTATTTTTAGTAGAGATGGGGTTTCACCATGTTGATCAGGCTGGTGTCAAACTCCTGACCTTGTGATCTGTCCACCTCGGCTTCCTAAACTGCTGGGATTACAGGCATAAGCCACTGCACCCAGCCCCTTCTATTTATTATACTTAAGGTTGTTTCCATTTTTCTTGACTAGATTGTGCAGGGGCACAATCATGGCTCACTGCAGCCTCAACCTTCTAGGCTCAAGCTATTCTCCCACCTCAACCTCCTGAGTAGCTGGGGTTACAGGTGCATGCCACCATATTATTAAGTTTTTGTAGAGATGGGGGTCTCACTGTGTTGCCTAGGCCGGTCTCAAACTCCTGGGCTCAAGTGGTTCTCCCACCTCAGCCTCCCAAAGTGCTGGGATTACATGTGTGAGCCATCACGCCTGGACAACTCAATAACTTTAAACAATGATCATTTTCTTATTTTCCCTCAGACTTCCAAAAGCTGACTTGCTTGGGCTCTCGTGCTGTCACAGTCAGAGAAGCTGGGGCTGGAGTTACCTTAAAGTCTTGCTTACTCACTTGTCTTGCAGCTGATGTTGGACATGAGCCAGAACACCTACATGTGGCCTCTCCCAGTGGCCTGGGCACCCTCACAACATGGTGGCTGGGTTCCAAGTCAAGTGTCCTGAGAGAAAGCCCTGTGGAAGTTGTGTCACCTTTTAGGACCTAGCCTTGGAAGTCACAGAGCATCTCATCTGTTATATTCTATCTGTTAGAAGCAAGTCACTAAGGCCTGCCCATATTCAAGAAGGGCAAATGAATGCTACTGCTAGGAGGAAGGCCAAATAATTTGTGAACATATTTTGAAACCGCTATAGGGAGGATCTCCAGCAACACAGCAGCAGGTGTGGGTTTGTACATTGCAGTCCAGGGATGTTAGCAGTGTCCTGATGTGCAGACTCTCTGCACATCATCCCTTCTTCCTTCTCCAGGGTACCCCTTCTTTTTTTTTTGCCAGCCCTCCCAAAATCTTTGTAACAAAATCCCTATATTAAATTCCTTCTATTTGATATACTTAGGGTTGTTTCCATTTTCTTTTTCTTTTTTCCAGACAGAGTCTTGCTCCATCACCAGGCGCCAGGCTGGAGTGCAGTGGTGCAATCGCGGCTCACTGCAACCTCTACCTCCCGGGTTCAAGCAATTCTCCTGCCTCAGCCTCCTGAGTAGCTAGGACTACAGGCCTGCGCCACCACGCCCAGTTAAGTTTTGTATTTTTAGTAAAGACAAGGTTTCACCATGTTGGCCAGGACAGTCTTGATCTCTTGACCTCGTGATCTGTCCGCCTTGGCGTCCCAAAGTGCTGCGATTACAGGCGTGAGCCACCACACCCGGCCTCCCTTTTCTCGACTAAACTGACTGATATATGAGGAACTATCCCATGCCATCTAAACTCACCATCATTGGACAGACAGCAGAGATACTATCATCATGTGCCAAGAACCACATCAGGTAATTTACATGTTATGCCATTTAATTCTAACACCAAATCTGAGGTTCAGAAGGGTTAAGCAACTTGACCAAGGATACAGCTGGAAAGAGTTTAGATCCAATTCTAGGTATGATAACAAAAGGCTCAAAATTTATTTCTTGAGCCTTCTGGAATGAGAAGAGCTACCTCCTCCCAGAGTTTCACTTTCCTCAGAGGAAGTCTTACCTCTCATCCTTATATACCTCTCAGCCTTATATCCCTTTTCAAAGAATCACCTTAGATTGAGGAAAAGGAAGAATACATCTAGGGGCAGTGGAACACAAAGACACAAGTATTCATCATTTGTGAAAGCTGCAGGTTGTGTGAGAAAAGATTCTACACCGGAGTCTGGAGGCCAGGGTTCAAGCCCCAGCAATGTTACTCACATATGTTATGACCCCAGGCAGTCACTTCCTCTCCAGAGGCCTCAGGTTCCATAGCTGAAGAGTGACCCTGGTGTTCTGTGCTCCAATTAGCATCTACTTGAAAAAGTGTCTACTTTGGGAATATAAAAAGCTCTATCAGATACAGTGGACAGAAGTTTAAGGAAAATAAAGCCAGATTGTAGAGGGTCTTGAATAGGCTGAGGAAAATTTCTTATTTTTATCCCATAAGCAGTGGAGAATCATTTTGTCACCCAGGCTAGAGTACAGGGGCACTAAGATCACTGCAGCCTTGACCTCCTGGGCTCAAAAGATCCTCCTTCCCAGATGGCTGGGACCACAGGCATGTGCCACCACATCCAACTAATTAAAAAAAAAATATATATATATATATATTTTTTTTTGAGACAGAGTTTCGCTCTTGTCACCCAGGCTGGAGTGCAATGGCGTGATCTTGGCTCACGGCAACCTCCGCCTCCTGGGTTCAGGCAATTCTCCTGCCTCAGCCTCCCCAGTAGTTGGGACTACAGGCACGTGCCACCACGCCCAGCTAATTTTTTTGTATTTTTAGTAGAGACGGGGTTTCACCATGTTGACCAGGATGGTCTCGATCTCTTGACCTTGTGATCCACCCGCCTCTGCCTCCCAAAGTGCTGGGATTACAGGTGTGAGTCACGGCGCCCAGCCCAATTAAAAAATATATTTTTTTGTAGTGATGTGGTCTTGCTATGTTGCCCAGGATGCTCCTGAATTCCTGGGCTCAAGGAACTCTCCAGCCTCAGCCTTCCAAAGTGCCTGGACCCAGAAGGTGGAGGTTGCAGTGAACCGAGATTGCACCATTGCACTCCAGCCTGGGCAACAAAGGCCTCCAAAAAAAAAAAAAGGAAAACAAAAGAAAACAATAACAAAACTAACAATACAAAGGAACCACAGTAGCAATAAACATTTGCTCAATGCTAGGCCCAAGCTACTACCCTAAGTGTTCTACATAGGTGAGTGCACAGAACAGCATAACTGAGGTAGTTTGTAGTGCTATTTCCATCTCACAGACAGTGAAACTATTCAGAGGCTCAGTAACTTGCCCAAAGTCACACAGCTGGTCAGTAGTGGGGATGAGATGTAACTCAGTTTGGCTGAATCTGAAGTCTGCACTCTCACTATGCTGTGGGTTGGAGTGAGCTGCACCCAAAAGTAAACAAAAAGTAAGTAGACAGAGATTGTTCAAATTGTACAAGAAAGCCTATGAGTCTGTACTAGAATACTTGGCAATGGAAATACAGAGTGTGAGGTGGGACAAAGATGATTTGAAGAAAAAAAAAGACAAGCTAAGGTTCGGTTGAATAGATTGGTATGGCTTATGAGGTGGATGAGGTGGGAGGAGGTGGTTGCTTCCCAACAGCCTTTCCTCCTCAGTTCCCATTTAAGTGTTTGCTCCTTCTCTGAAGCCTGTGGGCCGGAGGGGAGGGAAGTTACCTCTTGGGCTGGGGCTAGTGGTTCAGGCCTGAGCCTATCAGCTTAGTTCCATCCTTTGTCCACTTACTGGCTCTGGGGTGGGCATGTCACCCAACAGCATCCATGAAACCAAACAGAGGCTTACTACGGGCTGTTGGGAAGGTTTCTTGCTTTTCTAAGAGGTCATCTGAAAGGAGTCTTCTCTGTGGCTCCTACTTGTGATGTGGAAGCACACAGCACTTGAAGCTGCTGCCAGCATTTCTCATGACAGAGCAAAGCCAGCTTCAGCACGATGCTAACATTGCAGAAGGCAGAGAGATGGAGAGAAAGTGGGGTGAACGATTCTGTTCTTTGTTGTTCAAAGCACTCTGCAGTGGGTTTCCTGTTGTCCAAACATGTCCTAACTTCACAATAAGGCAGGCTCTGCAAGGTGTCTGTCCAGGCTCCTCACCCAAAAGTCACTGCCATACACTTTCATGGAGAACAAAGAAAAACACAAAAAGCCTAGATCCAGGGAAATGTTGATGTGATACTTGGGAGCCCTTGCTGGAAAAAAAAAAAAAAAAAACAGGCTGGAGACTAGAGACATAATAAGCCAGGCAGAGAAAGCCAAGCTTCCCCAGCCTATAAGCTTCCTGGGCTGCGTGTTCACAGCATACATGCAACTCGTCATGTCTGACTCTCACGTACCTACAGAATGCAGGCCACAGGTAAAGCTATTCTGCAGGATCCACATGGCTTTGTACATGGAGAGGATTCTTTTCTTCTAATGCTAAGCCCTCTAATATGTTTGTCCCAACTGGATAAATGATGCATACATTTAGAAAACCAAGTATTATACAAATAAGGGTATCTTCAGATTCAAGTAATGGGTCAAAGTAACAAACACTGTTCTGTGAAAAAGAATTAAACACTTTATTTATCTATATATATCATATATGAAAGCGAGCAATATCAGGACGTTTTCCTCAGCCACCCTGTCCACATTTTGTGCAGTTTTAGTGAACTATAAATCACTGACTTCTTCATACCTAAAAGAGAAAACATGAGAGAGTAAGAAAATGGAGGCTTGTTGAGTGGATGCTCAGAGTTTCAGTGACATTCTGAACAGAGACTTGTCTTTGCAGGACGGCACTGAGAGGCCAATCGGTGGGCTCTAGGAAATCAAGGATCTGAAGGTGATTAAAGGTCACTGTGATGTAGGGGGAAAGGATTCTGATTTCAGCATTTTCTGACTTAGGGGTATGGATGCCAATGATTCCTAAGTTACTGGGATAACTGATCCTTTTGAGTTATGAACATATTGGCAGCCTCTGAATTCAGTAGCTCTTTCAAAAGCTAGGACAAGGACAAGACTCTGTATGCCACTGGGCTCCCGTTCTCTCCCAGGCCTAAATTCCAACTCCAGCTCACTGTCTCTTTGTCACTATGAAAACCACCTGTCTGCCTATGACAAATGCTGTTCCCATCACTTTCTGCCTCATTGACTTGGAATCCCTGTTTAGATTTCTTCTCTAGGAAGTGCCTCCCTGGACCCCCAGGGTGGCCCCACACCATCTATGCTCACTCGACACACTGTGCAGTACATGTTGGCTGATTCACCCATGCCTCTGCTGGGACTGGGAGCTTCCTGAAGACAGGGACCTTGTCCTATTTACCTAGGTGGCCCCGTCGCCTAGTACATGACCCAGAACACAGCAGGTGCTCTGTAAAAGCTTTTGAAGTGACAGGACAAATGTGCCTCATTCAAACAGCTAGACCCCTAGCACCGCCATCTGCTTAGTCACGAGTATGTGATGAAACTGGAGAAAGGCCCTCCGGAGGCTTAGGGGAAAGAAGTAAAATGGGATAAAATAAATGGGCGCTATTTGTCAGATCTAAGAGTATCCTATTTGTGGATACTATTATGGACTCAATTTCCTTTGTGTTGAGGGTGAGATCAATCAGTTTGTGTTTCAGGGTGTGGCCCAAAGACACGAACAGTCTTTTTCACTGTGAGACACAAACTGTGATCTGTGCTATGAGAGTGAAGTGCACACCCCTGGCAGTGCACTTTGGTGAGCATGATTGACAAGGTAATAGGATTCGCTCTGGACACACCTAGCACTGGGGTTTGAGTGATGGCTTGAAAATACCTGGCCCTGTTAGCTATAAACTGCCTAGTCCACTTAGAGCCTTGGAAAAGCTGAGTGCAGACCGTGGCAAGGGAGCAGTAAAATCATTAACGAATACTTCTAGATACTCTGGCTTGGTCTGTCTACAAGCTGTCTACAAGTTGCAAACCAACATAACCTAGTCAACAAACTCTGAGTTCCTTTCCCTGACTCCACCCCTTTTCATTTTCTCCCTGGAGCAACCACTCTGGTAAACCTCACCCACTTGAGCACTGAGACTAGAAACTTATTACATAAGATGCTTTTTAAAATTCCAGCCAGAATCAACAAAAAGATCAAGCCGAACACAGGATAGTTGCACATGGAAAGGTTCATATAGCAACCCCAGGGCACTAAGTCACAGCTAGAGGAGGATGCATGGACCATGCTAATACCCAGGTCAACTTCAAAAAAACTTAGTTGTAGACTCCTTGGAGCTCAAACATTTGAGGTAAATACATAAACTAAAAGAGTGTCATCATGTCCATGTAGCCATTTTTTTGCTGCTAGTGGACAGAAATCTCCCTTGACTAAAACAATCTCCCTTTCATGGCTCTGCCAGTGAGATATTCTCAGAATGACTGCAGCAGGGAAATCTGTTAGAGACAGCACTAGAATTGGAGTCAAGAGACCTGGACTCTAGTTCCAGGTGGGCCACAAACCAACAGTGGTCTTTCCATGGGCCTCAATTTCCTTATCTGTAAAATGACTGGGTTGGAATAGATGAGGGGTTTTTTAACAAGGGGTCCATAGATAAGCGTGGTGTCTGTGAACTCCCTAACACTGCAGGGAAATCTGCTGTGTGTGTGCATATGTGCACTTCTGTGCAGGGTGTCCAGAGTTCTAATCAGATTTTCACAGGAATCCTGGATTTGCAAAAGGCTAAGAACCAACAGATCAGAATGAAGAGTCTTTTCTGCCTTAACATTATCAACAAAGGTGGAGAAGTTAAATTTCATGATTTTGGAATAGGCAGTAATTTTCTAAATAGGACACAAAAAAACTGCTAAACATACAGAAGACAAAATGGATAAAATTGGACTACATCAAATTAGGAACTTCTTTTCACCAAAAGACACCATTAAGAGGGTGAAATGACAAGCCACAGAGTGGGGGATTTTGGCATCACATGTATCCAACAATGGAGTTGTGCTCTGACTACCAGAGGGAATTCAGTAAGAAAAACAGACAACTCAGTAGGAAGATAAGCAAAAGACTAGAATAGATGCTTCACAAAAGAGCATATTCAAGTAAACAAATGAAAAATGCTCAACTTCCTCAGTCATCAGGAAAATGTAAATTAAAAGCCCAGTATGGTACCACTAGTCACCCACCAGAGTGCCTAAAATGAAAAAGACCTATACAAGTATTCAGGGAGATGCTGCAACAGGAAGTCTGCTAGTGCAAGTATAAATGTGGACAATTGTTTAGCAGTTTCTACTAAGGCCGAACAGTCACATGCTTTATCATCCAGAAATTCAGTACATACCTGACAGAGACTTGTAATAGTTCCAAGCAGGAACAAACCAAGTATCCATCTATAGTATAAATTGTGGTATATTCACACAGCGGAATACTGCACAGAGCAGAAATGAACCACTGTTACTCATAACAACATGATGAATCTCATTGATGTTATAAATGTTGTGAACAGGGAAAGACACAAAAGAGGACATGCTTATACACAGTTCAAAAATGGGTAAAACAAAATTGTGGCATTGGGAGTCATGCTGCTGCTTACTCTCAGAGAAGAAATGCCTGTGATGGGCATGAGGGGCACTGGGAACTGGCAAGGCTGTATTTCTTCACCTGGCACTAGGTCTATGAGGTGTTCCCTTGGTGAAAATTCATTAGACTTATGATTTTTGCACTTTTCTGTATATGTGGAGATATTTTCTACTACCAGAAAATTCAGAATCTTTCATTTATTCAGTCACACATGGAACAAGTATTTATTGAGCATCTGTATAAGCAAGACACTGAACTAGTTGCTAGGGATACTGGTACGGACAACAGCTATGGTCTGTGCCCTCAGAGAGTCCACAATCCACATAATTCTACTAGGTCTATATCACTTGCTTCTTCTTCTTCTTCTTTTTTTTTTTTTTTTAAGAGACAGGGTCTCACTCTGTCGCCCAGGTTGGAGTGCACTTGCATAATCAAAGCTCACTGGAGCCTCAACCTTCTGGGCTCAAGAGATCCTCTCACCTCATCTTCCTGAGTAGCTGGGACTGCAGGCACGTAACACCACACCTGGCTAATTTTATTTTTGTAGCGATGAGGTCTTGCTTTGTTGCCCAGGCTGGTCTTGAACCCTTGGCCTCAAGCCATCCTTCCACCTTAGCCTCCCAAAGTGCTAGGATTACAGGTGTGAGCCACTGTGCCCAGATTATATTAAGCTTACGCTTTCTATAGGAAAGGATGATGACTTATAAATTTTGTTCACTCCTTCCCCAATGGATAAAGATGCAACATCTCTTTAGTTACATCCCCTGTAGAGAGATCCTTATTTATCTAAAGCTAGTCATTATAACTTCTGGTTAGTATCTAAAGTCAGGATTTTGTTTTAGAAGCATGCAGAAAGCTATGTCACTATATGGCTTGTAAGAATTTTCTTCTGATTTCCAGCTTGTTTCACATGATGTACAGCAAAGTTAATATGTAAGACTATGCACTCCCCATGTGATCTTGAACAGATGGGTCTACTGACAGACAAACTCTCCATGAAACAATGTGAGACAGAAATAGGGCTAGGCTGTGAAAGATTTTTACCTTTTCATAATTTTACATGTCAGACCTTTGAGATAAAATTAGTAATCCCCAAAACATTCTTCCAATTCATTTCCAACCATAGGCAGATATACCTACAAAGAAAATCTCTTCTAAGGCAAAAGTACAACTTATTTTTAAGAACTTGCAGGCTTAAGCGATAAGCAAATCGGCATCAGAGCAGCAGTGTTCTTCCAATTTAAATATATAGGTACCAACAAATGGAAGAAATGTTTCAGTTGTAAGAAACCAGAAGCAGAGGATAATGACTAATCTGTTCTACTGTGTTCCTGGAAAAGGCTGCTAAGGATCAACTGAGGCATGCCAGAAGCCTTTTGGAAACAAGACTTAACCTGTCTTGTTAATGTAGTTGAATCTTTTGAAGTTAGAGAGGTAAAGAGGTATTTGTTCCCAGAGTTAATTCTGATTGACCACAAAGTCAGGTGGGAAAAAATAAGATTTAAAAACTAAACTCATCATCCTTGCCCAACCTCCCCCTCTGCTCAAGGAAATGAATGAATGGCTCTACTGCTTCCCAGGCCAAAAACCTGGGAGTTAGTTCTGACTCTTCCTTCATGTCCCATATCTCTTTAGTCACCAACACCCAGTCGTTGCGTTCTAAACACTGCAAATCTTTCCTCTCTGAACCGCAATGACCTGAGTTGAGGCTCTGTGACTCCTCAGCTGACTGGCTGCAGCCACATCTACTGGATCTCCCTAGCAACAGTTTTACTGTCCTTCCATTTGATTTCTATACTCCAGCTAAAGTACTCTTTCTGCAGTCCGACAGTGACTTCCCTCCACCTTCAAAAGAAACCCTGAACTGCTTAACATGGCTTTTAAAGTCTTTGTCTGGCCCCTGCTTATCTCTCCACCTGATCACTAAACTCCCCCATTTCTTGCCTATCTATTTCCATACCAGAGTATTCAGTTTCACTTCTCTCCACTTGGGTTAGAAATTTTATAAAAGGCTGCTGCTCAGAATATTCAGTTTGCTTAGCTGGTCTTTTGTTACCAGTTTGAGATGTGAGGTCATCTGCTGCTACCACGAAAGGAGGAACAGGCAAGTTTTAGGAGGCTTAATAGTCTTTTGCTACTCCTGAGCTGGCTGGCTTCAGGTGCTGATCTGATGAGAATGATGTTATTCTACTAACAGCACAGTCTGAGGGAAATTAAAATGATTTGCTAAATAATCAACTCCCAGGCTAAAGGAAAAGAAAAACAGTGACTGGTTTTGGAAACAATTCTCTACTCACATTTGAACATGAGTGTAGGTGATGGTCAGGGATTTTTTAATGGAATTAATAAAGACAGAGTATCAGTCAGACTGCACTGAGGACATACTGCCATGTTATCTACATCGTTTACTAGGAAGGGCAGTCCTCCAAGCTGGTTATAGACGCCTGGCTGCCATCTTTTGTAGAAGTAGAGTGAAATTTAGCTCTACATTCATCTAAATGTATAAAGCACCTGTTGGATAACAGAGTGAACGCTCTCATGTAAGCCTCAGAACATCTTGTGAGTTGGGTATTAGTATTCCTACCACCTCGCAGAAGAGAGAATAACATACCATAGCCATAGAGTGAAGAAATGATCATCAGAACCCCAAACCCTATCCTCCTTCACTAAGCTGATTCCCTGCATTTGACTGAATTTGACCTTCATATTGGCTGGCTCAGGGGAAGACCGAATCTTACTTTTTATGCCATTTATGAGTAGAGGGCTGCACAGGGGAGGGGAGTAATAGCTACAAAAGAATAAAAAATAAAACCAAATATGCTGGGGTTTTCTCATCCTACAGATGGCATATGAGCTGGCTGAAAAACTGAACAGAGGCATAACTTTAGAAAGTTTGGGAAGAAGGACCTAGCAAAAGTAAGGAAGGACAGTAACAGCTGTGATGACAACAAAAAGACTCATAAAGAGCAAGGTGAATCTCAGCCCAAAAGCTCCTCTGGCTGATATGCAACTTCAGTAAAATCTCAGGATACAAAAATCAATGTGCAAAAATAACAAGCATTCCAATACACTAACAACAATCAAGCCAAGAGCCAAGTTAAGAACACAATCCCATTCACAACTGCCACAAAAAGAGTAAAATACCTAGGAATATAGCTAACCAGGGAGGTGAAAGATCTCTACAAGGAGAACTACAAAACACTGCTCAAAGAAATCAGAGGTGACACAAACAAATAGAAAACTATTCCATGTTCATAGATAGGAAAAATCAATATTGTTAAAATGACCATACTGCCCAAAGTAATTTATAGATTAAATGCTATTCCTATTAAATTACCAATGACATTCTTCATGGAACTAGAAAAAAACTATTTTAAAATTCATATAAAACAAAAAAAAAAAGCCTGAATAGCTGAGGCAATCCTAAGCCAAAAGAACAAAGCTGGAGGCCTCATGCTACCCGACTTCAAACTGTAACTGCAGGGCGACAGTAACCAAAACAGCATGGTACTGGTATAAAAATGGACACAAAGACCAATGGAACAGAATAGGGAACCTGGAAATAAGGTTGCACACCTACAACCATCTGATCTTTGACAAAGCAGACAATAACAAGCAATGGGGAAAGAACTCCCTGTTCAATAAATGGTGCTGGGATAACTGGTTAGCCATATGCAGAAGATTAAAACTGGACCCCTTCTTTATGTAATATACAAAAATTAAGTCAAAATGGATTAAAGACTTAAATGTAAAGCTATAAAAACCCTGGAAGACAACTTAGGTAATACCATTCTAGACATAAGAACGGGCAAATATTTCATGACAAAGATGCCAAGAGCAATTACAACGAAAGCAAAAATTGAAAATGGAATCTAATTAAACTAAAGAGCTTCTGTACAGCAAAAGAACAAGAGAGTGAAGAACAGAGTGAACAGACAACCTACGAAATGGGAGAAAATTTTGCAAACTGTGCATCCAACAAAGGCCTTATATCCGGCATCTATAAGGAACCTAAACAAATTTAAAAAAACACAATCCCATTAAAAAGTGAGCAAAGGACATGAACAGACACTTTTCAAAGGAAGACATACATGCAGCCAACAATCATAGGAAAAAAAGCTCAATATCACTGATAATTAGAGAAATGCAAATCAAAATCACAATGAGATTCCATCTCACAGCAGTCAGAATGGCTGTTATTAAGTCAAAAAACAACAGATGCTGGTGAGGTTGTGGAAAAAAAGGAACGTTATACACTGCAGCCAGGAGTGTATATTAGTTCAAGCACTGTGGAAGACAATTCCTCAAAAATCTAAAAAGAGAACTACCATTTGACCCAGCAATCCCATTACTGACTGGGGTACATACAAAAAGGAATATATATCATTCTATCACAAAGACACATGCATGCATATGCTCACTGCAGCAATATTCACAACAGCAAAGACATGGAATCAACCTAAATGCCCATCAGTGGTAGCCTGGATAAAGAAAATGTGGTGCATATACACCATGGAATACTATGCAGTCACAAAAGAAGAGATCATATCCTTTGCAGAGATATGGATGGAATTAGAGGCCATTATCCTTAGCAAACTAATGCAGCAACAGAAAACCAAATGCTGCATGTTCTCACTTATAAGTGGGAGCTAAATTATGAGAACACATAGACATATGGAACGGAACAACAGACACTGGGGCTTACTGATGGGTGGCGGATGGGAGGAGCAAGAAGATCAAGAAAAATAACTAATGGCAACTAACTAGGCTTTCTACATGGATGACAAAATAATCTGTATAACAAACCTCTATGGCACAAGTTTACCTACATAACAAATTTGCACATGT